GTAATGTATTGAGATTTAATTTTTATTTTAATATTTAATTTTTTATTTAATGCATCTAAAATAAGCATATTTAATTTTCATTTAAAAACTTTAGTTTTTTTTTATTAAAGCATTACTTTAAGAAAATTGGAATTTTCGTCAATATCCACATGGAATTCATAATTAATTGATTTATTTTTTTTTCATAATCACATGTGATTTAAAAGCCTTAAAAACAGTAATACAAGGCAAACATTGAAAAAGAAAAATAATAAAAACGATGTGTAACATAACACATTTAATACGTATAAGATCACGTATACTTCAAAACATTATTCATAATTAACAAATATCACGTATAATGTTGTAGATAACTTACAATTCTTTTCTACTTAAAATTAATGTTATCAATATCACATATGATATTTTTATGAAATTTAGCGGTTCTGTTTTGGAAAATAAAAGTCGATTGATTATGGATAACACAGGTGGCTTTTGACGAAAATTGTAAAAAAAAACTTAAATGACTTACTATAATAAAAATTAAATATTTTATTGAAATACTGTAACACCCTAATATCACATTTGCATATAAACACATATTTTCATATATCAAGAAGTATAATTTACACATTCAGTCTCAAACTCTTACAAAATATCTAACAATTTTATTCACAACATCTCTATATTACTCATGAATACATAAAAGTATTTAGGTACAAAAGAAGATTTATGCTATCTCAAATTCTCATGCAAGCATAATATTATCACTTCACAATTTTTCCTTTCCCTTTAACTTCTGATTGTGCCCAACCTATAATGCACATTTTTTAAATACAAAATGAAGGTTAGACCTTGAGGTTTAATGAGTAATCCCTTTTGTGCAATTATAAGGTGAAAATCACCAAATCACATTTATAAACTCATGTTTGTAATAATAACAAATATATAGCATTTTGATATAAAAAAACCTCATTTATTACATTTAAATAACCTAATAAACACATTATGGTTAAAACTTGTCGCATCATATATAAATTTATATAACTTCTCGCATCACACTGATGAGACAAACCTAAGTCCTCATAACACACTGGTGTGATAACCCAACTTGTCGCATTCAATGGGTACGATAAAACCACTTCTCGCATCACAAGGATGCGACAATACCTATTCCTCGCATCACTCTAGTGTGACAACCACACTTCATCGCATCATATAGATGCAATAACTCTAAGTTATCGCATYACAGAGATGCGAAAACCCCAAGTTATCGCGTCATAAGGATGAGATAATTATGAACACTTGATTCAAAAACTCAATTTTTTATTACTTGATGATTATGTCAACCTT